CGTGTGTGTGTTTGTGTGTGTGTGTGTGTGTGTGCTGTCTCTTATACACATCTAGATGTGTATAAGAGACAGTTTGAAAACTTTGAGAGGATGAGCAGAAAGAGAGCTCAGCGAACTTGCTGGTCATTTCTTAATCTGTGTGCATTTCTATTGTGCGTGACTGTTTGTTCAAATTTGGTTGTGGTGCATTGGTGATGGTGACGTCAGGCCGGCGTGGTAGGCAAAGAGAAAAAGGTCAAGACACTTGCGGAAGCAGAGGCTGAGAAGACAAAGGAGAAAAGGAAACGAGAGAAAGAGGTACGGAAGGCGTGCTATTGCTAATCGGTTGAAAAACTCAGGAGAGAGTGAACAGACACTGTTGTGTTTAGACTCTAGAGAGTTGTTTTGGCTCTTCTCTGTCGTTGCGTTTTTCATATTCATTTGGAGAATTTTGGAACCGCCGCCTGTGCCTGTTTGTTGCGTCCTTGTTCAGTCTTCTTTTCCCCAGAACCCCTCCCCCTCCCCCTCCTGAGAACTCTCCCCATCTTTTCCTCCCCCGTCTGAGAACTCTCCCGTCTTGTTGAGCAGACACCTTGTATGTATGTGTATGTGTGTATGTGTGTGTATGTGTGTGTATGTGTGTGTATGTGTGTGTGCGTGTGTTGTTATGTTCACGATACACAACTCACAAAAGAAGGCACATACCCCTTCTGTTCTGCGTGTGTGTTCTCACGTTCGCTATGCACACCTCCACAGAAAAAAGCATGACTGTGCCAGACTGTTTCGTCAGACTTCCACCAACTCATCAGGAGTTTGAACGATGACAGTCTGCTAAGGATGCATTGGACCGATGGGTAAGTATTAAGTACCCTTAACCACGTCGCCCAGAGTCAGTAGTGATAGCCACTGAGAAAAGTGGTCGGCGTTACTCACACTAACCCTGCAATCCTAGAAGAGTGTCGGTCCAGAAGGGCAGAGACTCACCTCTGACCCCTACCCATTTTAGGTTTTGCTTTTTTAACTGAAGCTATTGGTTTATTCGCCTTAATGATGGCTTTCTTAATTTTATGGGCGACCACGACACTACCAAATGAATTGCTCCTTGCACTGTTTGTTCTCTCAGGCGCGATAACCCCTTAAACCACCACTACCTTCCCATTTGGGAAAATGACCTCAACCGGAGTTGACCGCAAATTTCGGGGGTCCGGCGGAGGGTCGTCGGCATGAAAGAAAAAGAAAAGAAAAGATTGGGACCCTGTGGGTCCGTGGTGTGAAAAAAACAGAACGAAAAAAGCACCAAGGAGACAGAATCCAGCGACGTCGGGGAACCCTCGCGGAGGTGGAAGTCACATCACTGCTTTGACGAATGGATCTGCCCAGTCTGTGTGGAACGTGATTGCAGATGTTCTGGTTTTTTTTTTTTTTTTTTTTTTTTTTGCCCCTTGTTTGCCTTTCCTTCTCATCCCCTGCCATCCAGGCAGGCGGATTCCACGCAGTGCAACCAACTGCATGGCTCATGTTATACTCAGACAGGTACTCTAGTGTCCTGTATCGAACCGCAATCACGGCATACGGGAAGTCCTTTTTTTTCTGTTCTTGAGGAATGTATCTGGCCAGCATGTGTGGAAACTTGAAAGTGACTGCAGAATCTGTGCAGATGGTTTTTTTTTTTTTTTTTTTCCTCGTTTTCGTTGCCTTTTTGTGCCCTACCAGAGAGGCAGGGTGGATTCCACGTGGGGAACCTAAGTGCCCCATTCACGTTTAACTCACATGGGCACTCTAACGTCCTGTATCTGACTGCGGTCACAGCATAAGGGAAGTTTTTTTTTTTCTTTTCTTTTTTTCTTTTGTTTTTTCATTGTACAGATACCCTCACTGAGGGCACGGTCTCACCAGCACCTCATAGAATGTATCTGATGGCTATCACAGCGATAGGGAAGTTTTATTTCTTTTCTTCTTCTCTTTTTTTCTTTTCTTTGTATTTTTTTTTCAGGTGCAACGGCCGTGAGTACCAGGAAAGAAAATGCAATGGGACCCAGGCTCGACAAAAATCGGTGCGCACTGCGCAGTGAAATTCAGATCCGGCAAAAGCAGGGTCGGAGGTGGTGGTGGTTTAAAGCACCACTACCTTTCACAGGCAAACGCAAAGTCCATCTAGTAGCCTACTCCTGAAAACATGGGGCTCGGGGCAGGGTTGGAGGCCGATGAAATAAAAACGAGAAAAAAAAAACAAAGAAAATTCAAAAAAATCAAAAAGTTTTGAACCCAGGGCCGTCGGGAAGGCCCTCGTGAGGGTTGCACATAACACCAGTGCCTTGAGGAATGTATCTGGCCACTATGTGGGGTTGGAGTTTGCTTTTGTTTTTGGTTTCATGTCGTTGTAGTGCCCTGCCGGCCAGGCAGGGCGTATTTCACGGGGGGGGCACGTAACTGTCTGAATGCTGTAGCATCCTGTACCCGCCCTCAGTCACAGCATAAGGGAGTTCTGTTTTTTTTTGTTTTCTCTTTTGTTTTTTTTTTTTCGTTGTTTGTCTGCTACACGGGCACAGTCACACGAGCACCTCATAGAATGTATCTGGTGGTTATTGTGGTTATCTGGGAGGTTTTTTTTTTTTTCCCTTGAAATTTCTTCTTTTTTTTTTCCCCCCTGTTCCTTGCTGGACGAAACTGCCCCGGCTCGGCAAAACAGGGTGTGGAGAGAAAATCGACCTCGGCAAAAACGGGATCGGAGGTAGTGGTGGTTTAAAATCAGGAACCGCAGGCAGCAATATATTTCTTGTAACCGAGTTGTTTCGTCTCAATCTGGACGATCTGTGCAGAAAACGCTGACGAGGAAGCAACGGAGACGGCTGGAAGCACAGAGGGAAGAAGCGGAGGATACGGAGATGGAAGATGCCGACGAAGAGGGAGAAGGCGGCGATAAGAAGGTGCGAATATGTCCTTTCCTGTTCTATGCATTGTGGATATACAGTCGCAAAAACCATTTTGTGTCCTTCCTCTGTCTTCCCTTATGGTCTCACCGGATTGGAATATTCTCGCAGTCCGAGCAAAGATATATAATGGATGCCAGAATACGAAATGTGGTGTCTGTGGAACAGTTCTGTGACCGGTTTTTCCCAAGTTCTGTTCTTTTTTTTTTGGGGGGGGGGGGCTCTGAGATTTCGTTTCTCAAATTAATGGAGGCAAGAAATCCTCCCTCAGCATCATCGGGAGGGAGCCCGTTATTTGTTCTGGAGGGATGGCTCTCCCTTTTTCCCTGAAAGAAAAATGGAATAGCCTAGCCCCTAGTATATTATCGTATCCAGAGGATTGAATTCCTGACCTGTTTGTGAAGAGAGATCTCGATGCCTGGTTTGTGGACAGGGGGAGGGTTTTTTTACAAAGGACCGTTACACTGATGTGTCATTAGGGGTGTGGACGGGGGGTGGGGGGCGGGGGGGGAAGGGGGGGGGAAGAGGGAAAGGGGTTTCAAGGGGAAGGATGCCTGGCTTGGTGAGGATGAGAGAGGGCAGTGGAGTCTGGATCTGTCATGAAAAAAAAACAAGGGATATATTCACGTACCGACATCTCAGCACAATCAGGGCCAAAATCCGGTCTCGGTTCACCCAAATCTCAGCTGTAAACCTACAACAGAGGGAACTGGACGGTTGGAAAAGACGGCCTGTTTGTTTTGCCGGCTACATTGGCATTGAATCGTTGATGTTTATCCTGTAGCGTGGAATGTACGCTTTTGCGGCTTTCTGATGTGACTAATGTGGTGTTCCCGGTACGTGTCTATTTGTCCGTTTGTCCGTTTGATGAAGGGCAAACATTTGATATGAGGTAAACTCACACCCAATACGAAGGCGAAATGGAATGAGAGCTGGTGAATGAAGGGCAAAATGGAATGAGGGCTGGTGAATGAAGGGGCAAAATGGAAAGAGGGCTGGTGAATGAAAGGGCAAAATGGAATGAGGGATGGTGAATGAAGGGGCAAAATGGAATGAGGGATGGTGAATGAAGGCACAAAATTGCAAACCCCCACAACCATAGCAGGAGGTGATGCAAGCCCTCATTCCATCTTGCCCCCCTCATTTACCAGCCGACTCTACGTGCCATTAGCTTTTGCCTTGGTGAAACCAAGGAATGTAAGGTAGATAGAAAATAGGCACTGTTGTAGGCCAAGGAGGAGGACGAGGGAAGATGGGAGTCCGATCAAAGAGCTAATGCCGTGATTTGTTTGTGTGTCCTCGCCACTGAGTTCTGTTCTTCCAGGGTAAGAGGCAGGCAGGAAGATTCAAGAAGGCAGAGAACGGCGACAGTAAACCTGGAAAAAAGCTGGTGGACATTGCGTATGGGAGAGCAAAGTCTTTGAAAAGCGAGATGAAACACATGGGTTCTGCGACAGTCAGGGTACGGACTCGTTCTCAACCCATTTTGCTTGCACCCCACTTGGCCTGCTGTTCCCCTCCCCCCCCCCTCCTTGTTAATTTCCCTTAGGTATTCCTCGATCTCTAAACCTGCGTTCACTCGGGGGGGGGATTTGCAGGGCTAGGAAAGGCCAGATAAGAACAAGCAGTCGTTAGGCGGCAGCAGACATCTGGGCCGAACTTTTTTTTTTTTTTTTTTTTTTTTTTAAGAAAAACACCCCCACCAGTGTTAGCGGTGCTGATAAGAGCAGACAGCACTACCGTCTTCCCCCGAACACAACGCACCCTCATTTTGGCTGTATCTGGCCGGAAATATAACTCGTATACATTCATTTTTAGGTTGCGTTATGTTCGGGGGAAGACGGTAGGACCTGGGGAGAGGCTCCATCTATAGAACTATCCGAGGCCAATGTTTTGGTTCATGCCGCTGTCAAGTGATGCTTTGGGTTACCTTCTGGTTGACACCCCAAGGGTTGGGGTCGGCCTTGGGTTAAACTATGGGTTAAACTTGGGTTAACCTATGGGTTAAACTGCATTGGTCAGAGTTGGGTTGAAGGAGAAACTTTGTGCTCGACGTGAGGTTAACCTTGCATCAACCGGAATTCGGTGCTGAGGACGTACCTTGAGGCTAAACCTCTTAGGTTTAACCTCATTCCTTTACACCAATTTAGTTTACCTCGGTCAAACCTCATTCCTTGACCCAATTTAGTTTACTGCGGTCAAACCTCATTCCTTGACCCAATGTAGTTTACTGGGTTAAGCCGGGGTAGGCAGTCGGTTAATTTCAAGGCTGAAGTCATTTACGCCATCGTGGGCTTAGCCTCCTCGGTCAATCTATGGGGTTTAGCAGCCCCGGGGTCAGCGTCGAGTTAATCCCCATGATCAGCCCGAGGAGCATCATCTGAAGATGTGGGGGGAGACCATTTGATGAAATCATCCAGTGGGATCTAGTGAAGGAATATGCGGCCTTGTGTCTTCGTCACCAGGTTTCCATATAGACATCTCCACGTTATACTTGGTTGATTAGATGGAGCAAGCGACATGCCTTGTCGAAAGCAGGACCTGGCCACACCGTTGAAGGTCAGCAGTTTCCAAGCAGTCCACAACCCCCCCCCCCCCCCCACACACACAAAAAAAAAAAAAAAAAAAAAAAAAAAAAACGACTTTTAAGTTCTAAGCCCTAACCATGAGTGACGAGTCCGCA